ATCCATGAAAAGCTGCAAACCTGAAACACCTTCATAATATGCAAATAAACAGATATCGGCATGAAAAACTACCTCAAGGATGGAAGAAACCCAAGCATCCTATTTCAATATGGGATGTGGTCAAGATTGGTTGGCATTTGAATAAGAAGATCAAGATTTATACTAAAACAAAGGGTAGGCTCACGCAATCATGAATTCGATGTACACTTATATAAATGATTATGAAGGCTCTCAGTAACTGTTTCTGATCAATGACAAAGACAATTTGAGTTTCAAGTAATAATGTTAGATGGCAATTCACACCGGGCTTTATCTTGATAGACGGAAAATCGCAACAGATTCTTACAATTGAATGTCAAGTTTGTAATGAGAAAACTCAGCATTGGATCTGCAATTCCATAATTCTGAAGACCGCAGAATTATCTATTAATCAGATCAGAATTTGTCAGGGACATCATTGGATTTGCACACAGCCCAATGATGTTATGTTCTTTGCAATTTTAATACTTAGAGTTACAATGGCTGGGGGTGATTCCCAGGGGAGCTACTTCTGACTTTCAGTTTTTAGTACTTCTTCCTTTTTCAATGTGATCGATTAAGTACTTTGGACTTCTGAACGCAATTTTCACTAGAAAGAAACAACAATGGGAAATCGGTGGAGTGATATGAAATAGGACAAGGAGGTAAGCAGGGTGCAAAAAAAGAGGTAGCGCGTTTGGCACATACTTCTCTAGAAGCTTAAATCAACCCAAGTTGACGAGCACGATCAGGGTTCATTCTAGCTGTCAATGGTGGTGCGCCCTGTCCTCCAGAAGCTGGTTGAGGTTGCGGGGGAAGTGGGCCAGATGAATAGCCATTCACATGAGGAGGCTGCATCATTCCGGGAGGCATGTTATTTGGTATTGGCGGGCCTGCGAAGCGCATAGGGGGCGGACCAGAACCGGGGGAAGACATGCCGTTTTGGCCATTCATTAATGCTAACATGGCAGGCGGAAGTGGTGGCATGTTGGGACCAGCAGTCGAATTCGAGAAGGGGGGTCGCACTGATAGATAATCAAATACGTCCGGTATAATGTCACGTGAGCTTGATTCGGAGTGACGTTAAATTGGGAGATCGAGACTAAAGCTTACTGGGACCACTCATGCCAGCATTAGGAGGCCCCGGCTGTGAGCCAGGAGGGTTTCCACCTGGTCCACGATTAGAGGTTGAATTGCCACCACCCGTTTCAAACATCCGTGTGATTTCATCGATATAACTTTGAGCCTTGTCATGACCCAGAGCTTCAAATGTGTGGTGAAGTGATTAGGAGGGGTGTCTTGAATGGAATCTGCGTCGACAAAGAAACTCACAAGAATAATAGTCCCTGACATTCGTCAGATGGTTTCGACCACTGTTGTGAGCCTTGCGAACGGAAGGACTAGAGAAATTTCCTGATTCAATTTAGCTTCATTTGTTTCGTCAATTTGAGATAGACCCAAGGAATCCAGCAACGAACCTTTCACTGACGAGGAAGACATCTGGAGGAGAAGAAGCCCCGGATTAGTAACGTTCTTCAAACCCAGTGTTCAATGATTGGCAACCCACCACAGTAGTCACAATAGTACTTCCCCATGCCGACAAACCAATGGACCGAGAAATTTGCCTGTGGATCTGCTGCCTTGGAATGTCGAATACGAGTTGAGTGATTCAGCAACTCGAATGCGGTTTGATTGAGCTGAAGGTTTGTGTATGCGTTTCCCAGTTGGAGAGGAGGGGACCCTGAGGGGCGCACAGCCTGGACAAAACCCAAGACAAAACTGAGAGTCACCGCGTGCGACTTACGAGTGCGCCCCGCGCACCACCATACAAACACTGTGTAGCACGATTTCGGTCGACTGTGTACAGAGACTACCCGGAGACCCCCGTCTAGTCGGGTGGTGTTGCCTGCTCCAGAAGAGTAGTACACTACTGGAACCTGTGGTCTGCTTATCATAGAATGATACGATAGTCGATTACTCCCGAGACATACGACTACAAGCCGATCGCAATGGCAAACGAAGACTCAGGGCCTTCACGCTCGCATACCCACCGTGGACGCAGCCGAAGTCCTGGTAACGAAAGGAGAAGTCGACCACGAGACAGACGGAGCCCAAGCGGAGGTGAACGTGATGGAGTCCGGTGGAGCCGCAGCCGAGATCGAAGACCGAGCGAAAGGCATGCTGACAGGGATCGCAGAAGGAGCTCTCGTGATCGGGACACTGTCTACAGTGACAAACGCGATCAACGTGATCGATACACCGGAAGGCACGGCTCGCCCTCCCGATCTCCACCTAGACGTCGACATCGATCTACAAGCTCCTCCTCCTCATCATCATCATCATCATCCGCTTCTTCAGGAAAAGAACGATCTAGGGAGAAGAAACATTCCAAGAAGTCAAAAAGCAAACGGGATTCATCGATATCGAGTGAGGATCAGCACGAGTCCCGCAAACATTCTAGCAAGTCTAAGAGCAAGCGATCTCATAAGAGCCGGCACAGGAGTCCAGGTGAAGACAGCTCAGATGAACATGCTCGTAAGAAACAGGCCCGTGCCGAAAAGAAAGAACGCAAGAGGAAAAAACGAGAGAAAAAAGAAAAGGAGAAGGTTCGCCCCTTTTGGTCTATTCACTGATTGATCCATGACCAAACTAAGCAATAGATTTACCTGGATATATCATTTAACATATTGTTTGTTCTTACATTTTGATTTCATTCTATGTGAACAGAAAAAAGAAAAGAAGGGACAGTCCTCAAAGCACAAATCTGCTATCAGTGAGTATGGCAAGTATGGAATCATCACTGAGGCTGATATGTTTACCAAGGATCAAGAGTTCAGGTAAGTTGATTCACATCCATCTGCAGCAGAGACAAAAATGGAATGAGACGTCCGGTTTGCTGACAAGTCCAAATCGATGTCGGATCAATTTGTAGGGCTTGGCTGGTAGAAGAAAAGACGCTGAATCCTGAAACGGTTTCACAGATTAAAATGAAGGAACTCTTCAAGTGAGTGCACATCCATTCTCAACCAAGCCAAGGTGTTTGTTACCCAATTGATGATTGAGACTATGTTAACTTGCTCTACAGAGTATACATGGAGGACTTTAATACTGCTACATTACCACATGAAAAGTTCTATGCACTGGAAAAGTATGAAGCAAGGATGTAAGTTCTCTTTGTTGATTTGGGCCACTCGATCTTACAACCGCTGAGTGGTCTTTTTCTGTCCAAATAGGAATGCGATTCGCTCTGGGAATGTGACTACCCAGAGTGATACCTATGATCCTCGCGCTGATGAAGCCGCTCTGGCTGCCCAACACAAGCGGGTAGCTAAGACGGACGGAGAAGTGTATATTGGTCGGGCTCAGCTTGAGCAGCTTAGGCGAATTGAACGGTCAGCCTCAGGTCGAATTTCATAGAAATTTACATATTCTTCAGCTGAACTGATCGGATTTTGTTATTCTTGTAGGGAGAGAGTCGAGGCTTCCCGAATGAAGAGGATGGGGATGGAGGTTAAAGAGAGTATGGGTGTACGATATGAAGCCGATTGATATGCACCCTTGAGGTTGTTATACTCCAGCAGAAAAAAAGTGATGATTTCTGATGGCCATATACTCTTCCACTTATTGAAATAAATAGCCAATCCTCATCAAGCATCATAATCCTCATAGTTGTTGCACCATTCTGCTGATAAAATTACAAAGTCTGTATATAATTTGAACACCTCTCTCTCTCTCTCTCCAACTGACTGGTTTTGCACGTGATGACACCCAGTAGTTATTCTTTTCAAATGGTGCAGTTGGGAGGTTTTGAAAGTCCTAGCTATTATTTTCACAATGAAGTTCAAATCCCTCGGTTTGCAACTAAGCTATGAGTGTACAAATACAATATTGTAGTTATTGCTTTTGCCTGGTGTTTGTAGCAGTTCCCAAACTTTTAAAACATGCTATGTTTTTATTTTCAAGCCTTATTTTTGAAATGACTGGGTGTGAATAACAGTCAATAGAGGAAACGACGGGCCCATCTTCTCACAGTGTAGGCTTTTGTTTGGGTCTTAAAAAGGTTATTTTTGTAATTGTATCATATTTGCACTTGTTCTCAAACCGATAGAAAACCAAGTTGCAAGTATGTAAAGTGTAACCAACATTGTCAACTGCGCGTTGATATGGCAGGATGAATAATACATAGATCATAAACTATAAACCAAAAACCAAACGCAATGAAGAAATAAGACTTGACGACATCTGAATGAAATGGACACCATCGCAATTTTGTTACGTGGAATCGATCATGGACAGAAAGTGATATCGAAAGTAGATCCAACGGGGCTAGTGGTGACCGCTTGGAAGTCATTGGGCTGGGCAAAAGCTTGATCGGAGGAACAATTGCTCTGGCGGCACGTTTTGAGGTTACCTCCGTTGTTGATGGATGTATCAACTAGTATAAATCATCCATGAACAGTCAGTCAGACTCAGAAGATGTCCCAAGAAAAGTTACTGGTCCATTAAAAAAAACATGGACACTGACTATTGATAGAGCCATCAACTCGGGAGAGGTCCCAAGAGATCACGTTACCAAACTGTTGGTAACCGTATTCGCCAAGTAAAACTCCAGAAGTTATCCCTCCATCAGTGCATTGAAGTCCACCATTACACGCTATCCAAAAAGTGCCACATCAATCTCAAAACATTGTCCCTATCCCACCCGGATAGCGATCGCCATTCAGCTGGAGAAACTCACCTCCGGTCGCACAGTTTGCACCATTGACATCGCAACCAGTGCGACCCCAAGAGCGGACTATGAAAGGAAGCATCATTGTAGGGGACCTTGTAATCAGAAACACCGAAAGCCGATGATAGAGAGATAAAAACCCAATGGTCAGCAAACATTTTGAAGAAACATCACTCACTTCCTATCTCTCCGTCGTTCACTCCAAATTGACTCGACCCCCCTGGCTCGAGTTTGGCGCCATAAGCCACGGATGGATCAGGTTGTCCATTCGGAGCTTTCCCAACCGCAGGCCAGACAGTAAAGGGGCAGTTGTTTTGAAAGTGCAGCGTGTAGCCGAGCGCAACGCCGCACATGGACGAGCCAATGAGTAGAAGCAATGTACACTTCATCATTTTTAAGAGGCAATTGATCTGGAAAGGTCGCAAGCAGGCTCTGTTAGTTAAATTCCTCTTATCATCGACGTGACACTTCAGATGGGATAAAAATCATGATGATGGATTGGAAATTGGAATTACTTTTTTCTGTGTTCGTATTACTGGCTAGGTGGCAATGGATGTTTTGGGTTCTCCTCCAAGGCAAGGAGCCCTCTCCTATTTAAGCCTGTTCTAATGGCCCAGCAGCAGACTGCGAGTGAGGCGCAAGCTTCATGTGTACACAGCATCAGTCAAGTCTACATCTCTCGGGGCGTTTGTTCATTGTCCCATCTTTCTTTCTCGGAAGCGCAATTGATTGATCCTATGATTCCCGCAGCTCCGGGCGCAAGCAAGGTTGGAATAGGAAAGAAGAATTTCCGGCGGGACCATAGGATCCGGGCGAGATGAAAATTGAAATGCTTGATGTGCGAAGCTGTGAGACTGAGAGGTACGTATGCTTGTGCGTTTAAATTTGGTTTTGTCATTATATTTTGCTCTCCGATCATAGGCTCGTTATTACTATTAGGAGGCCTCAGAGACACCGGTTATCCAGACCCATGACCACGCGCCCGGAGTAGAAACATAGAAATCGGTTGGTCATCTGTCTCAAAAAAAGAATGAATAACATGCCTTGGCGCGACTGCGTGTGGCTCGCAGAAGCAGATCCTAGCTTAAGTGGCGATGCAGTTTGCAGTGTAGCTTAAATTGTTCGAGCGAGTCTCCTTTTGAGGGAAAGATTCAAGGACTTCCTAACAGTGGCAGGGTGAGCGATTAAATCGAGAGGCCTTTCAGAGTTCTTGGGCGCGACGAAAGGGTTGGGCGAATGCTGATCCAAGTCTCAGGCTCTTATACATAGGAGGCCCAGCGATCGCCATTCTGTCTGGGCGGAATTACATTCCGCCGGCTTTGGGTTCATGCCGGTGCGGGACTGTGCTTGGTGTCACCGTGCAGCTTGAAGCAATCCGCTGTGAATTCATTCATGGCAGCCGCTTGCCCCCAAAAAATAGACAACGACTTCCCGTCCCTAAGATCTTCGAAAGCACAACTTACAAGGCTGTGGCCCTGGGGCAGATCCTTTCGGCGAGGCACGCCCTGTGTACTTATATAATTAAATAAAACATTGTTGGCGGAGAGCGGCAAGGTTCCCTTAGACAGGGAAATACTAGGAGAGCTTAATGATGCTGATCGGAGGCTGTAACTCAGAAGCATGTTGAGGCAGTTGCAGCCCAGCAATGATCATTGCACACGACAAACCCGGAAGCAGTTGCCTCGAAAGCTATATAAAGACTGTCTTTGTTGTGTCCGAATGCCAATCATCAATCCTTAATACTCATCTGCCCTACGACACATATATAACATTACTATTGCCCCGGCCTGTGTCACAAGCCCTCAATAAAAAAAAGCATCCATTTCATCATGTTAGTCTCAAGCTTCTTGGTTGTTGTTGGAAGTGTATTCGGTGCAGTGTCCGCACACACCATCCAGGTGAACAACAACTGTGGTGAAAGATTCATCATGCAAGTCCCTGGACGTGGAGTCGTGACTTCTGGTGGTGGTGGCACCTGGACATACGATGGGGACACCAACGGGTAAGCTTTTCGGAAGTCTTAAAAGCAAGGTTTCCCTAGTCTGACGGCCAGTCTATGTAATCGATTGGGCAACTTCACAGAGTCATTGCTGCCGTCGGGAACAATTGCGAGGAGAACGGAGTGCCATGCACTGCGGCCGAGTTTTCGCTGGTCTCCGCCGTCACCTCTGCCGACATCACTTTGATACCTCCCCACCAATGTGCGTACCAACTTCAATTGTGCTTGATTCACAAGAATTCCGTCGTCTAACTCATGAATCGACCACGATTGATAGACAACAAGTCATTGCGCATCACCCTCACCAACGGGCTTTCTAAGTCTTGCACCTCGGCTGATTGCCCCGACGCTTTCCACACTGACGGAAACGACGAACTCTACCAAATCCAAGAGTCGGGCAACCCGAACTCCGGCATTACTTTAGATTTTTGCATCTGATCGCTCATGAGTAGCATAACAACTTCTCTCTTAGCTGCATGCGTTTAACTGCTCAAATCACCTCTCGAACTTGTCCAATTTCAGTCTCAAAACCTTTGTCAAATGTAGCCAAAAAAAATGCAGACCTTTCTCTATCTATTTCATTTTCAGCGCATTGTTGGATATAAACTATAAATCATAACTCCAATCAGCAAGAATTGAAAAACAAAGCATTTACTCGTTAATCAAGCGTATGTTGTTTTCCACTCGATCATCAATCAATCAAATTCATGTATTTCTGAATCACATCCAGATCTCAAGATCAACCAAGCCTCCTCCCGTAACTTTCAAGCAAGAAAGAACAGGGAATCAAATTACCTTACCCTGATGAAGTCATGCCAGTGTATCTAGACATGCGAGGATTTGGACTTCTCCAACGGAGCGGCAATGAGCTGTTTGAGAACGTGCTTGGCAGCAGAGCATCTGCTAAGTAGTGGACAAACGCGTTAGAGTTTCTCCGTGACTCCCATCTGAATGACTGCTCAACGAGTGGATCAATATGCTTGAGCCGTTGCGCCACGGGAGCTATTTATTGTAGTTCCTTTACACAGATTTACGACATGGTCACCCCCACGGGTTGATTTGGGCATCTTCCCTTATCCATCCTCACCAAGATTTTAGACGAACCCCAACAGTCGTAAACCGCCGACCCGGAGCAACCGTCCCCGGTAAAATTCTTGGAGAGAACGCGTCGGCCCTTTCGTCACTCGGCTAGTCCAGCCGAAGAACTTCTCTTATTGTTCGCTCATCGGCTGCCTAGCGCAATGGTCAACGCGTCTGCCTACGATGGATATCCACCGGGTTCAATGTTCCGGATTACACTGGAGTAGCAGAAGATTCCAGGTTCGAGTCCTGGGGTGGTCGCAGCGCACGGGAGGACGACATCGAGTTGTCTGGTTCTGTCCCCCTCCTTTTAGCAAAGTGCCGTTTGCATGGGGACAAAGAAATGTAGTTTGGAAGTTACGGTCTACCAAGGCGGGAGGTGATTCGGCTCGGTGGCATGGGTCATGAGCTGGCGTTTTTGCCGCACTCCGGATATGCTTCTCTTTTTTTGTACTTTTGATGTCTCTTGGTTCTGTCAGATTGTGGGTGCCGTCCGCGTTTTCGTTGCAGTATTGAGTACTCAATCTATCTCAGACAGATAGGTAATCAAATTCATGGGTGCCCAAGTCGCTCTTGAGCTGGAAGATAAGCTGTGTTTTGAATGGATTTAGATTTCTGAAGCAGAGGAGACAATTAAAAAAAGAGAAACAGGAAAGAAAGGAAGAGGAGTGGAGCGAAGGAGGGATACCAGTCCAACTGATTGTCGGAATAATCAGTTGAACCATTTCGATGATGTCATTGGCACCATTCAGCATAACTATTATGTTGTATCTCAAGGTTCAAAAGAGATGAAGGGGAAAAGAAAGACTACGAAAGAGTTGTACGTGTTTTCCTCGGCTTTCAACCCTTCCTATGTACAGTCATATACATCACAACAACAACAACATATTTACAATTTGTTGGAATTTCGCCTCTTTTCTTCTCATCCCCAAAAAACCCATCTATTCCATCTTTAAAAATAATCATGAATAAACAAATATTGCATGTGATTTATCTTTGTCTTTGTGAGTTTCTGCGTGATATATTGTCATGTTGTCTAGTGCTGAAATCCATGTAGTCTTCGAACCCTGGTCTAGTCTTTATCAACTCTCATTTATTCCAGTCACAATCTCAAGCATGTTTTGATCCTTGTTATTCATTTTGATATTCATTTCTCCTCAACCACATGTTAGACCTCTTGTATGTAGACTATTTAACGCATAGTCTCTTCTAAGCAAAAAATGCATCGGTTCTTTCCTTCTTTTTTCGACCCATGAGCCGTTCCAACAAAAGTGTTTTGTTGCCCAAATAATTTTCTCAAAAATTTCCTCCCCATCTCCGGCTGTAATTTCTTCACAATTCATCACAAAACGGTGTTCAAACCGACGAGCGGACTAGGGAACCCACGGCGGTGGCCGCCGTGGGATTCCTAGGAACTGTGAACTGGATCGAGAACTGAGAGTTCACCGAACTGAACTGGGGAATAGGTCTATATAATTTCAAACATTCAATCATTGATAACAGTACTGTACCGTAGAGTCTAAGATTAAGACTGATTTTCATGAGAGTTGTCGCGGAAATCCAGAGAAGTAACGTCTATGGGGGGAGGGGGGGGGAGGTGTGGCCGCTTTTCCGTGCGGATAAAGCAAGCGAGGCAAAATAAAAAAAAAACACCCTAAGCCTATCGCTCGCTGCGCTCGCTACCCTAACGCCTAAGAGAACTACTGAACACATGAGTTCCGAACAGACAATTTGTCATACAACTTGTGTTATGGGCAACACGGAATTGGGACAGGTAGAGGATGTCAATCCAAGTAAGAATTTGAGGGGAATCGAGCAAAAACATGAGTTGTATCTGTAGTAGCATTATAGAAGGGAGTGCTGAGAGTGAACATGTACATCATCGGGGAGGTCCTATAATGAGACTGGAAAGATGACAGAATATGTAAACATATCAGCAATCATTCAGTGCGGTTGGATCTACCAGCAGTCAAACACTCACCTCAGGGTCAGATGAAGCTTCGTACATCAATCTCTCTCCAAAGGTCCATGACATCTCCTAATCACGTCCAGGTTGACCACGTTCGATGTTTGCGCTGGTTGGTGCGAGTCCCCGACCATAAAGATTGATAATCCAGCTAAGTTTGTCACGCGAGAAAGTGCAACGTACAATTGTCCGTGTCCGAATACCGGCTGAGGCAGATAGACCGCAACCCTGCCCAATGATTGGCCTTGTGCCTTGTTTATGGTCAAGGCAAAAGCTGTGGTGACTGGGAATTGGTAACGCGAGAAAGTAACGGCAATTACACTGTCCGGCTTGTGGATGAGCTTCAATTTCGGGATTGATACTTCCTCTCCGACACAGCAGCCAGTGAGGATTCTGCAATGGAGGGCGTTGGACTTGATCCCGAGCAGCAAAAGCCTGGTTCCGTTCGAAAGTCCGGCCTTGAGATTGAGATTGCGAAGGAGAATAAGCGGAATGCCGATCTTCAAATGGAGCTCGGCGTCAGGGAATCCAGGAATCGAGAAGGTACGGAGGACCTCTTCAGGAATTGCCTCGTCGCTCTCCGCCCCATCTTCCTCGTTCATCATCAGGTTGATTGAATGGGAGGTAAAGACCGGTCCTCGAAATCGGGCCAAACAAAGAGAGTTGACAGTAGATATGTCTGCATTCAGCGGTGCTAGAATTAGTCGGCTGCTGAAATAGGCCGTCACGGCCTCATGATCGTGGGAATCGATCACGGAGTCCATGTCTGAATAAGTGATCTGGATAGCGTGGTTGGCGACAAACACCGGATCAGAATGCTTGAACACTGTACCGAAAAGCAGATCGATCGCGGCCGTCATTTCTGTCTGGTTAGACCCGTTGCCCACAGTCAAAAGCCATTGATAGAACTCCGCGTTGATCCGAGCAGTTTCGGGATTGTTGCTGATCAATCTCAAGTTTTCTGACAAATGGAACGTGGTGACATGATTCCATATCGCCGAGTTGATCATGCACCTATCTGCTTGATCTAAGATACTGCCCCCGGGGACGACCGGCAGGGTTTGCCGGAAGTCACCCCCAAATATAACGATCTTCCCTCCGAAAGGAAGCTCGTTTTCCATCAATTCCTGGAACGCACGGTCTACAGCCTCGACAGCAAACTTGCTCTGCATAGAAATCTCGTCCCAGATGATAACCATTGCATCACGGAGAGACTGTGTCGATGGAGCCCTTGGTCTCCATATGCAGGATGATGTTTGGTGCAGATCGAGTGGGATCTTGAATCGGGAGTGGGCTGTCATACCGTCAATCAACATCAGCCCAGCAACACCTGAAGAAGCGACTGTGATTACTGGTATAGCAATCGTATTGAGGTAATGAATCAAGGTGTTCATCAGATACGTTTTCCCGCACCCGCCAGGACCATCAACGTAAATGAGGCCCGGTTCTTGTCGGTCCACCAGACCGATGACATCCTCAAAGATGGAGGTCTGTCCCGCATTGAGTCCTTGAGACATCTCCAGAAACTGTCGGGCGTGATTTCGCACGCGCTCCTCTTCTAGTTGGGCAGATTCAGTCAAGAAGCGATCCCAGTGATGAACATAAGCGCTTGAGTCCTGCAGACCAACGTCTTCTAAGCTCTTGTTGTGTTGAGAAACAATCTCGTTTAAAAGAAAGTAACACAAAGAGATCCGGACTTCTGCCGACGGTTCCCTTATGGCATACGTCCGTTCTAATCTGTGTGTCAAGTCGTCGGATAATACATCGACGAATTCATTGAACAACTCTTGAGGGAGGGAGGGTGGACTGTGGATTAAGATCATGCAGAACATTAATCGGAGACGGCCTCCAGTCATCCAGTGGCCTGCATCGATCATTGACTGTCTGTAGTGTTGATCCGAGACCAATAGGCCGAGTGCATCACATGCTGCACGGAAAGTAGGGAGAATGATTCCATCGACTGTCCTAAGATCTTCATAACTGGTCGGGCCTCTTCGGTTGAGTAGGAGGAGCCGTAAGAAGTATCGTTCACCTTCATTAATCGAAGCGTGATACAGCCGACCGATCATGTCCGAAGACCTCTGCCTTGCTTTGAATCGCTTCCCTCTTGCCCATGTAAAGTATGTCGGGAATTCATGGTAAAGTAGGGACCGGGCCCTGGTCCCCATGCCTATCGCATCCAATCGGTTCAGCCTGAAGAATTCTGTCAAGGTCGTTCGTGATGCCGACCCGGTGCTCATCTGCCTCAGGAGTCCTTCTTCATCGGTGTAATACACTTCCTGCTGGTCGGGAAGGTGTATTGCTAAGCGTTGGATTGGTGGGTAGCGTTCGCTTGTCGAGTACCTGAGAAGCCTGTATGAAGCTGTAATGGTGTCAGGAAAATGAAACGCAAGGGAAGATGCAGTGACTACACACCTTCTGAAGGTCCAATGTAACGACCATTGATAAACTTTCGAGTCTCATCTCCGTGGCTCATCCTCATGGATGACCGATCAACTCCTTTTGTGATGTATTTGAACAGGTACTTGAGCGCCCTGATTCCGTATGGGATTTCAACGTTGATGTGACAATTGAATCGGAGTAAGAGATACTTGTTGTATGGTACTACATGTCCGTTGTTGAATAGCGATCCGTTTTTCATAAATGTTCGACCATCATCCCGTCGACGGTAGGCAGGGTAGGCATCATCAACAAAAGTGGTTTCTGGTGAGAATGCCTTCGGAAAACCTTTATCGCACACCCCATCTCTTTCATTCCAACATACGCTACCCGGATTGCAAGGGCCATGTAGCATGAATTGAGTGACCAACGAATGGAGTTGAGGCTCGGTACTGGGATCTGGAATCTCAGCCGTTACCAGTGCATCGATTGCGTCTGGTGTTCGTGGCACACTTGCTCGATCGAGGATGATGATGATGTGTGCATGGGGTAACCCACGTTTCTGGAACTCGATTGTATAGACGTACGCTGCCACTGTGCCCAGTCTCTTTTTCTTGATGATGTCCTTGAGGAGTTGTGTCAACTTCATGCGGAAGACCCGGGTAACAATATCGGGCCGGTCTGACGGTTGTTGGTGAGGCTTCAGAGCTGCAAGAACTTCCGGCCAGCGAGAATTGGCGGTCATCGTGATGAATAGAGAGGGAGGACCGTAGTGTCGTACGCTGGCCATTGAATCCTGGTATAGCTGGAGCATGTTCCTGGGGGATCCAGAGAAGGACGATGGAAGGATAATTCGCCTGCCTTGAACGTCAAGATCATCCCGGAAAGATTCACGGATGCCCTGGTAGATTTCTGCTTTGATCTGGGCTTGATTGAATCGGAAAAAGTCGAGCCTAGATCTCTCAACACAAAAGTAAAGATCGACCAAGATTTCTTGAAATAGGTTCTTTCCGTTGAGAATAGCCGAGAATTTACACCTCCTGTCGAAAATCATTGAGGCGTACCACTCGCACTGCGAAATAGTTGCGGCTAATTCTGGATGTTAGGTCGATGCTAACTGAATCCCTGGGTATCAAAACTACAGTAGTGGGAACTTACCTCTTTCGGTCCCACTGGGCCAGCCGTGGATCCACCCTTGTTCGCCATATGGAAAGAAAAGTGGGTACCGAATCGGAAGGTACCCACTAAAATCGTCTGTAATGTGGAAGAGCCCTCCGCCAATGGTGTGGAGGACTATATTCCTCAGGCCGATCTCTTCGGGATTGTCGTTGTGTATCACCATTCCCACCTCGAGGGTCCTAGGTGCGTTGTACACCCTTCTATCCAAGTCAGATCTGGCGTAATTGCGCAGGATGTAGTTGGCATGAGAATCGGGTCCATGCTCCTGGCCAATCATTCTAAACCACTGCGCGTAGGTGTTGTGACGGGTGAGCCACTGCTGCAACTGCAATAGCAAACGTGGATTGACAGGGGACCTCGCCTGCTCCGCTCGAAGGTTGGCCTCGGCGGCATCGTTCCCTCCTGTTACGTAGATCTGTGCAAATGCCGGTCGGTTCTGGCCCTCTGGGAAGACGGAACCGATGTCGTGGTACAGTGCCCCCGTTACCCTGAACGTATAGATACCTCTCTGACCTTGGACGGTGCGATCAATTTCGGCACCGCAGGAGGAGAAAGAAAGGGCATTGTTGTAGGCCCGGAGCTGACTCTGAAATTCGAGCGAGTCTGAAGGGATAAAGTAGCGAATATCTCAGCTTGGGATTGTAGTTATTCAGAAATCCTAAAAAGAACGTACTGGCATCTTGTCCAATCAGCAACCTTGCTAGGAACATTGGGTATCGTATTTCATCGTATCTGACCGGCAACACTACCTTGCCTTTTCGGCAGCAGGTGGAGTAGCTTGCGCTGATCGCATTCATCAGGTCTTGGGTCCTCTCACCAAGAAAATGCAGAGCTCCACAGGATTCGCAGGCGTCGGTCATCGCCCCAACATTAGAGGGAATCTCATTGGCAAATCGCCTCAAGATTTCGGATTCAGTATTGCTCCTAGCTTCTGTAGCAACGACCCGTTCTTCAGGTAGGAAATCTAATAGAGTCTCCTGGCGTCGAGGCTGAGGCGTTGCCCTTCGTGTGGCAGGGGTAGAAGCGCGGCTAGCAGCAGGGGTAGATGCGCGGCTAGCAGTTGAAGCTCGGCGGGTGTTTGTAGCCTGACTGCCCAAACGAAATCTGCGGAATGTAGCACTCGCACGCGAACTGATTGCATCATTGATAGAACGTCTGGATTGGGGCATTGTTGGACAGATGTATTGTGAGGAAGGGACTTCGTATGATCGATTCGGTTATACGGAATGGGTGCGGTCAAGTCAGAAATTTCGGTTGCTGTTGGGGGGTATTTTCTCGATGGAGGCGGAATCCCTCAAATCTCTGGAGAAGTGTGTGACGTGTCGTTTGTCCGGTTGGAAGCGGAATTGACCAAGAGCTGTTCTGAGTTCTTCGATGAACTGTATCTGGTCACATGCTCGGCCGGAACTGTATCTGGTCACATGCTCGGCCGGGATCCGGAATCCCTGCGGAATTGACCAAGAGGTGTTATGAGTTCTTCAATGACTGTATCTGGTCACATGCTCGGCCGGAATCCGGAATCCCTGATTCCGTCTGAGTTATTCAATGACTGTATCTGGTCAATTGCTCGGTCGGAATCAGAATCCCTGAATTATTCCAATTTCTTCCAACGGTGTATCTGGTTGATTGCTACAGTCTGGTTTCTTCCGTTCTTCCAAGAGCCCCGTTGTGCAATTGGACCAGGTTCTTGGCACGACAACAGACTTTATCCTGATTTGTTAGGGTATTATAAGACTGTTGTTTACTTGGAGAGCGGAGGGGAATCTCAACATAGAACATAACTAATTGTGATAAGTACTTGGAAGGGACACATCGAATTTCAAAAAGAGCACGAAATGACAGTAATGATCGAATTTCAATAGGAGCACGAAATGACAGTAATGTATTTGCAAGCAGGCATAAAACAGGGCAACAGCATGATTCAATACATTGGGAATTATGCAAGGGTTTTTGCCTTTTTTTGAGCATCGGTCAGGGATGGCGACCCGGAATTGGCGCTAGCAGTGCTCTTGGAGCCGGTTCTCACAACCCGCTTACCCTTCTTTGTCGTGTTGACAAAGTGTTGGTCATCCTCGTCCTCGGGAACTGGTCTTTCCTCGAATATCTCACCGTCGGATACTTCATCTTCGGCCGGTTGGCTGGTAGAAGGGGTCGGGGTGGGGAAAACGGACGGACTGAAAGGCGGACCGGCCAAGCTAGGACGACCCACCGAGCTGCTACCAGGAGTTTTGAACTCCTGGGACGGTACTGGTGACTTGCTTGCAGCAGAGGGGCTTACTGCACCCACTCCACCAATCAATCGTCTGCATTCAGAAAGTCAGGAAGTGCGGTCAGGTGGTTGTCGCTTCAGTTCTCAAGTACAGTGGTTGAATGGAACTCACAGGCCAGGTCGAAGCTGCCCGCTGGTACCGGAGCCGGACGGAGTAGGTGGGGCACGGTAAGATGACCTTCCCGAAGCCGTGGAGAACAGGTAGATCTGCAAACGGAGCAGTGCAGGATAAGAGGGCTGTCTACTAATCGAGTAAGGGAGCGGGACTTACCATAACTTCCCAGGTCCCAAGAACATCATTGAACCCGGTGACATTGCCTATCATCAGCGCCTCAGTATCCACAGTAAAGAAGCCAAAGGTGTTTCCGAGTATTTTGTTCCCGGGTACAATGTAGACAGCCTCAAATTCGACGTTGGACTTTCTCTGAAATGGGTAAAGAAATGCTTATCAATGATGGGGCAGGGTCAGAAGAAATAAGGGACCAAAAATACGCACCGCATTGTGGTAATCATAATGCCTCATTGTCACGTGCAAATCAGTTTGCGGCGTGTTGTTCAGGCCAACACCCGGGGCTTTATGAGTCTTGATAATGGTCCCGAACCCAAAGACCCACACTTTTCCAAGAAGCTCGGAGCCGAGGTCTATTTCGGGATGGATAGGATCGGTTTTCCGGTACTGGCGGGTGTTACCTATGAATAGACTCAAGTTGCTTTCAAAGAAGCACTGGTAACCCCCGCCCTTGGTGCTCCGCACGATCCGGCCTACAGTAAAGTAGACATTGTCTCTGACCAAAGACGTTGCCCTGGAGGCGTAGCCCGAGAATTCCACTCCGATCGCCGTTTCGCCTGCCTTTCGATCCATCACAACAATAGATGAAAGATAGTTGAACATTCCGAATGATTTACCAGGCTCAAGTTCGTTCCCGGTCTGGATGAATCGTTGTTTGCAGATAAGGTAAGTGTAATTCAATGGGAAGTATATTTTTATCACATTCGCTTACCACTGCAATGATGTCAAAAGGACCAACAAAATACATTGGCCTTGTTGGCCGCTTTGGATTGGACATGCTTGCTTACGATTTGGGAATGAAGTGCTTGTTGGGAAATGGGACAGTTGGTGTGTGGGCAACATTCGATACCGGTTTTGTTGTTCCGATCCCCTGCCTTGGGTGTTGTTTCAATGGTTTCACTGTATTTCATGAGAATAGCCGTGGCACATGACACATCACATGACACGTGGCTTAAATCAACCGTGGCTTATATTCGCCGGAAAGAATCGTGACTATTATTTCTGGTGCCTCATTCGCTGTATTCTGCCGACTCATTCGCTATATCTACGTATGGACTTGCGTGACCATGGCTCTCAAGACCCTAGCCTTCGGGTTTAGTTGAGCCGATGCTGCTACAGTGATACATAGGTCAGTGGCTGAAAAGCACGACTGCCTAGCTGGTGGCTTGCGTGACCCTTGGCTTCGGGTTTAGTTGAGCCGATGGTTCTATGGTCGATTTGATTGGAGGAATTGGTTGGCTTAGGAGGAATCAGTCTCCTTGGAAGGTCTTTGAAGGTGACTGATGAGGTGTTGGTAGATTATAAAAAGGGTGTCGGACAACCGGGGCTGACGGCTCAAAATGGAATCGAGTCATCGGAAACATAAGTCGTATAAGTCATAAGTCATAAGTCATAAATCGGGAACAGTAACAAAAAACAATAACAAAAAAGCCATAATTATAAATCTTAAAACGACTGAGAAAATCAAAACAAAAATAAACAAAAACAGGCAGAAAAGCCGACCCCTGAGCAGAAAAGCAGAACCCACGAACCTCCGGAAGCAGAATCTTCGACCTTTCAAGGTAGTAGATTGACAAATGATAAAAGAAACAAAGGGCGGAGAAAAAGCACCAGAGGACGTGAACCAATGGAACATCGTAAGATCATATCAAAGAGATAGGGTGGTCGTACGGACTGGAGGCTGCAGATGCTAACTTATATATAATAGATTGAAGCACCTGAGCAACGTACATTAAAGGGATACTTCGCATCATTGCACACTAAAACAAGGCCAATAAAGA